AGAGGAACATTGCCTTAAAATTCCAGCTTTTCAGCATCCTATGAGGAGAAAGAGGTAAGCGGGTTTAAAAAGGCTGCCGTGAGATTCATTGCAGGAGTTCCAATGAAGACTACAGGGAATTGCTCAGGACAAGCTCTGAATTTGAGTACTAATTTGAGTAGACACTTTGCCCTTAATTTCGTTGCCGTAACTCCTCTTATTTATTCTCTCAGTGGATTCAAAAGTCGTGAAAGATGCTCAGCCAGCAAATACGCCGGAGCTGTTGAAAATTAAACAGAAAAAAAGAAACATGAACACACTGGCGAATAGATACATATTCAGAAAGAGGTCAAAACATAACAGAGAAGCAAGAAGCAATCAGAAAGCGAAAAAAAGCCAGGAACAAACAAGCATGAGCAGTAAAACTATGGCAGACGAAATGAGTGAGCGAAAAGCAATCAAAATGCCAACGAAAAGCAACCTGGTATCAATGTTACGCGGCGTACTTCCGTTGAGCTGGCCGTTGCCAGCCTGGGTGCAAACGCAGGGACAGCTTTGAGGCACTGCGGCAGCACTGCCATCGCCAAAATAACGAAGCTCTGCCACCGATGCTATCCTCCACACACTGACACAGCAGCTGAACTTGGATCTGAAGAGAGATGTGAAAGCACAGACACTTCCGAGCAACGTCGCTTATCATGCAGTTGTCAAAATCCCCTTCGTATTTCGCTCTCAATGAGAGACAGAAGCAGGGAAAGTGGCCCAACTGGTAGCAAATGCTAACAGCAACCATACGCTGGCAAGGCTGTCGATGGCCCACTTTTCTGAGGGTTGCTTATAAGCAAGCTGACGGCGGATTTGATTCTCTGGCATATGCCACTGAAACTAATTTAGCATCGAAACGAATCTTAGAGGGATTGGTTGGCCAAAGGAAGAGTTGACCCTCCGATCTACTGCACGACAACAGTGCCACCTAGTGTGCCATGCCTGTGAGAATATGAAAATGCCGAATTTCCAAGAATCGTTTGCACAATTCATTGCGAAATAGGGGAATTTGGGTTTTAACATACAATAAAACAGGACCCTGCCAAACTGTACATTTCATTCGTCTATGAAAATAGAAATTTTTTTCGTCTATGCAAATAGAAATTTTTTTTTATTTCGCTACAGAAGTTTTTTGATTTGTTCTTCCGGTGGTAATGCCAAGAATACCAAGACCCCATGGGTGATAATATTCAGGTAAAGATGCAAGAATCTAAGTTAAACCAGGAAACCGGACCCCGCACATCCCCGCAGCATCGCGGCACCGGAGGAAGCTGCTGCTAAAACTTGACCCTACTGCATAAAGTGTACCCCCTTGTAGGTTTGGGTGAGTGTTGCGGAAACCACATTTGTACTCAAATGCCGGATTTACGGTGAGATTTTGGAGGGTACACGTGAGCTTAGCA